GATTCCGCAATTTATAGTATGCTGACTTCGGTTTCCTAGTCTTGAAAGCCAGGCTATTTTCCCTTTCCCTGACTATCTGGATAGGTGTGGCGACGGGCGCCCATCCAGTGTACTAGAGTAATATATGCCAGTGTTTCGTTGCAAATTCATCTCTTGTATAGGGGTCAGCATATATTTCCTAGTATTCCAAGTTAAGTCAGTTTTTTATTATTTTTATAATCGAAATTTTCTTCGGTTAACTTGGTCTACTGTTGTTCCATTCCCATGATCAACCCAGAAAAAGTCGACGGTAATGCACCATCTACTGGCAGCAAACGTTCACCCGACCATTCTAACGGAGCCTCCGGTGATGATAGCGGTCCCCCTGAAAGGAAGTTGGCACGACGATTAGATGAGTCTCAAACGCATCAATTTCAAGATGTTCCTGAGGCCGGTGGTCGCGCATTTTTTATGTCTAAAAGCCTGGATACTGATGATGGGATCAGGTTGAAAGCCCGTGAAATGATCCAGTCTGCACTAGAGTCAAGTCGTACGTTGTACAATTACCTCTTACTTTTTACTTCGTCTTTTAAGCGATCCCATCTGGTGCATTTGAGGCCGAATATCTTGCTATCAGGATAGAAACTGAAATTTTTAACCTCTTCAAGTCTACTGATCCAAAGTACAAGCAGCGTGTTCGGACACGGGTTATGAACTTAAGGGACTCAAATAACCCCAGTCTCCGCATTAATGTGCTAATGGGGCACGTGAAACCGGAGAGATTGGCTTCAATGACTTCTGAGGTTTGTTACTTTAAAACGTTCACTTCATACAGATTAAGGATCTCCTGTCTGTACATAACTGTCTTCATTGTGCCTGTGATTATCTTAGTGCAAAACTTGGCGCGATATCACAGTCGAGACTAAAAATTCTGATTGTTGCCTGCGCGGTTGATGGTAATGTTGAACCACACTTGTCGTCACTATCAACGTCTGTAGACTGGTAGACGGGCAAACAACATACATATGCTCAGGCCATTGGTCGGCCATCTTTTTCATTTTTTCAACTATCTGGCCGTGCTCTGTCTAACGTCAAATGTACATTCGTGTAGGCGAATGTTGAGCTTTTATCATTGGTATCATAGGAAAGAGATGAATAATTGCAGTAGCCAATATCTATTGTAAAGACTTTCCGAGTCCAGTAGTAGACCCCCGACCATCACATACGGTCTCGTTTCTTCATCGTTTTTTGTTTGACCGAATGGTTCTCCTCCAGTCCTCATACGGTTATCCTGTCCAAGACCTTGCAAGCCAGTCACTGTTTTTGCTTTGATAGAAGACTTGAACTTCCCATTATTTGTCTACAGGATAACAGAACACCACAACTTCGACATATTTTGAGTAGTCCAGACACATCACGGTTGTCGATGCAGTCAGCAGCATTTACTTTACACCGTTTAGCTCTTGTCAGTTCTGCTAACAGTTTGATGCGTTGCACAGCACCCGTTGGAATGAGTATATAGTAAAAGTTATGTCTTTATACTAATCGACTTGATGTTAAGTAGTCCATTGGCTTTTTGGGAGACCCATATCCGCTCAGGGGTGCCTCCAGTATACGTCTTGTAGATATTAAACCTTTTGGAGGTTCACTTTTGATTCCAGAGGTTCGCCTAAGTATATGTCGGTACTCCGAGTCCAAGGCGACCGTTATGTTAACCAACTTCTTTTGCGGTGGGAATATTACCAAAACGTTTAGACCGTCTGGATGTTATAACGATAAGTTCGCTTGTTCTAAACAACGGAGACCACCACCACTGTCGTCCTCGGACAGAGCCTACTCACTCTCCACACGCCCTCCATGTTTAATTGAAAAGATAGTCAAAAAAAAACCAGAGATAGGCGCAGTAGCTGACGACAATGAGTCTGCGTTTACGCCTGCCACTCGCAAGTTTGTCCTTGCACACCTGTCAACAAGTCTTTAGTAGGGAGTCTCAGACCTCTTGTGGAACAGCTTTCATAGAGGGCACGTTACGTAGCCATTGCACTCAGACAGCTAATCAAAAGTTGGACCGGATTATTGTGTCAATTGTCAGTCTTCCAATTCACGCCCATGGATGTATCTTGGTACCTCGACGGCACGTCAGGTTTATTGCATTAAAGGTGAGTAGTCTCCGTCCAACGTGGATTTTACACAAGCATCCACTCTTACAGCACACCGTTCGTCATTATCGGTGGTGACAAACGTAATCGCGCGATCGTTATATGAGTTGTAGAAGATGCTTTTATTATGACTTTATATGCACATATAACTGAATAGATGGATGTGATGCGGTGATGTGCAAAGACAGTGCTAGCAGATAAGGCAGACCTAGCAGTTGTTGAAGGGAACTTATGGCACCGCATCATCAGCCATATTGCGATAGATTCGCAGATTTCTGATCAAGCCAGTGATGTTATGCAGGCGACCAGCTGTTCACAAGTTGGCAATCTTGCTGGACGTCTATCAGGTAGGACGGGTTCAGTTTTGAGTTTCTTGTCCGTAGAAGAGACC